AATATATTAAACTAGTTCCAAGTCTACACACTACTGTACCTGCAGGATGCTCTTTGTTCCCTAAGGTAAGTACACTTAAAAGTACTTTCTCTATTTATAAACCATGGATTTGTTAAAGAAGGCAAGTCTTGTATTTTGCTAGAACGATTTTAAATATTATAAAACAAAAAAGAACCAAAATATTGCAACATTTTTAAAGATCGGTCTCCTCCTATTTGCTAACGACTAAAATTATACATTCTGAAAGCACTCGAGCCTTTAGGCAGTTTTTCATCAAAGGGTTTGAAACTGATTTATTTGCAGATACTTGAACATGACACTAAAACTGATCTGGTTTACATCTACAGTATTTTGTACCCCTGATTAGAGTAAGTGAAATCCGTAATTTTAGATTTTGTGTTTGCTTGTTAAACGTTCAACTATAATTATTTTTAGGCGTTATTTACTACCAACTTGTTTTCTCTAGGAAAGTATTGCCATTGTTCCTCTAGTCACCTACCTGAGTGGGTTTCTGTCATCTTTGGCGATGAAGCCAGTCAGTGTCAAGATAGGAACTAAAGTGAGTTTGAAGTTTGCGACTTTTCAATCAAAACACTTTTTATGAAATCGTGTCCAATTTGTAGTTTTTTTAAACAAAAAAAAATACATTGTCTTCATTCTTGTGATGTCTTGTTACAAATTTGTGTACACAAGAAAATTCAATCTCAAGCTATCACAGTTCTACTCATAAATATTGCGTGTCATATCAGTCACTTATAATTTTCCTAGCCAGGTTTGTCTATGTGCTTAAGTTATTTTAAATTACATTTTTCTTTCCGAATCGCTTCACGTTTAGGAATAATACAAAATTTTCAAACTGTTTGCTCATGTAAGCCCACCAAATTAAAGTTGTAATAATTAGGACTAAATTAAGCCCTTTAGCTTTCTGTAGGACATAATAATATTTTAATGAACTGTTGTAATGGATGAAAAGCAGCAGCCCATAGATTACGTTTTACTTAAAAGAACTCGAGAAATGTTTAGAAATATTAATTTCTAAATACCGTTGCATAGTTTTCATATAATATTTAGTCATAAAGGATTTCCCGAATCCTTGAAGTTGAATTAAGGTTCTCGCTGTATACGTGTTTTCAGTACAAAGCTACGCGGGGAATGGAACACCAGACTTTAGCGTTGTAAGTTCGTAAACCAAGTATGTTCGCCCTTTCAGCCGTTGAGGCGTTATAATGTTACGACCAATCCGACTCTTTGTTGGTTTTTGTCTGTTTGTTTGTAGTTAAGCGAGAAAATACACAATGAGCTATCTGTGCTGTGCACCCACGGGTATCAAAAACCGGTTTTTAGTGTTACAAGCCTCCAGACTTACTAACTATCTAACCTGGTAGATATTTAGATGAAAAACCGCTTAGATCACAGTTATGTGACTCAAACTGTTTATTATCTGGGGTGTTCGAAGATTATTGAATCCTCCTTCGTCCCGCACCAGGGAATTTGATTTAGACACAATAGTGTTGGGGGTGAGGGGGTAGAACCCCCGAGAAAACCGAAATTAAGAAATTAACGCCCGTTCAGTGCCCAGATAAAGTGTAGACTTTAGTTATGTTAATACCTGAAAGATACTAGAAAGAAACGTATATGGTGAGACATATAACTTGCTCTCGATTAATATTAGTGTTTGTGGATGTCGTCATGTATGAAATTATAAGGCGAAATATATTCTCTCCAGGTGTGTGTGGGGAGGGGAGATCCAATTGAAGGGAAGCGTGAAATGATAGAGTTACGATATTTAGCTTTATTATAGTACGTACTGACTGGTTTGAGTTATTTTGACTTGATGGTGGGGGGGGGGGTAGTTCTGAATGGTGTTCAACGTAGTGTAAAGGTTTGTATTGCAGGAGACGGTATGTTAGCTTAGATGCGCAATTTTGGAGTTTTGGTAATTTAGAGAAACTCGATTTTTTTCATGTTACAGCTGATCCCAGAACCGTATTCCTTAGAGGTCTATTTTTCATGTTACAGGTGATCCCAGAACCGTATTCCTTAGGGGTCTATTTTTCATGTTACAGGTGATCCCAGAACCGTATTCCTTAGAGGTCTATTTTTCATGTTACAGATGATCCCAGAACCGTATTCCTTAGAGGTCTATTTTTCATGTTACAGATGATCCCAGAACCGTATTCCTTAGAGGTCTATTTTTCATGTTACAGATGATCCCAGAACCGTATTCCTTAGGGGTCTAGGTCTAATGAATATTTTGCAAATATGAAGTATGGTTTGCGATTTGCAACCGTGTATATGATGGCATATTTTTTTTAGGTGTGCCAATCTTCCTTGAAGTTTCTTGTAGATTACTTTTATGTGTGAGTGTCATGTGAGATGGTGGTTAAGTGTCATGCCTAGGAATTTAATTGACAAAGACAGGATGATAGTGGAGTTGTAAAGTTTTAGTATTACATTCTTAAGTTTTTGTATTTTTTTTGTTGAGGCTTCTACGGAATTTTATAGCTTGAGTCTTGTTTGGATTCAGGTTGATTCTCCATTTGTTGCGCCAGGTTGTAATTCTATTTATTAATTTTGATGTGTGGAAGGTGCTATAATGAGGTCTCTGGAAATGTTCCAGATAGTAAAGTCATCCGCGTATTGGGGGTGCGATCGTGAGTGGTGTGATGGGTTGTGGAAGGTCGTTGACAAAAAGTGTGTGTACAAGAGAGGGCTGAGAACCAAGATTTTCTGGACTCCGGCATTGTAGATGAATGGTGGAGAATACTGTTTTTTATTTTTACTTTTGCTGTTCTGTTCTCGAGAAAGTTAGAGATCCAATTCACGAAGATAATGGAGATATTATATTTCATAACTTTGTATTTCAGGCCGTTGTGCCAAACAGTGTCCAATGGTTTTTTGGACGTCTAGGAAGGTGGCTACTGTATCTTGATATTTTTTAAAGCCGTTGAAGATTGTTTCGGTTAATCTGAAGTTTGTCCGTTTTTTATACCGGCATTTTGAATTTGAGAGAGGGTGTTATTTGATTCTAATAACCAAAGCAATCTTGTTGTTATTATTTTTTTCATTGGTTTTGATATGCAGTTGATGAGACTAATTGGGTGGAAGTCATTCGGATTTTTGGCCTTTCTTAAGAATTAGTGTAATGATTGCGGATTTACATGCTTGGGAGAGATGACCTGCGAAAAGTGATAGGTCGTATATATTCTTGGGATGTTCAAGGAGTTTTAAGGAGCCATGTTTTAGTACGATATTGGGGATCTTGTCTCTCCAGGTGCGCTGTTTTTGAATTTTTTTAGATGTATTTTAATTTCTGCAGTGGTGATAAGTGTAGAAATGTTGTTCGGGGAGACGTGGATGATGTTGTTTGGAATGGTTGTATGGAAACACGTAGAAAATATGTTGTGATTGTCTCGGATGGTTTTATTGTAGTAGCTTTGATCAAATATGTTAGGATTGTTTGTTTGTTGTGAAGTTCGCGCAAAGCTACACGA